ATGCTCAGTTCAAGAAAAAAAGTTGACTTAGATTTCAATTGTTTGCAGTGAATTGTTTTTTACAATGATAATAATAATTGAACTTTATTGATCTCACATTGGAGAAATTTACCTCTGAATTTAACCCATCCCATTGGGGAGCAGTGTGGGGTTAAGGGTCTTACTCAGAGAGCCAGAGTGGAGTCCAGTGTTGTATAAAGTACTGAAATCTCGGAGTCAAGTAAAAGTATAAGTACCTCTCCAAAATATGACTTTGGTAAAAGTCCAAGTCACTGACTGAAATGTTACTCCACTAAAAGTCTTAAAGTATCTGAAATGGCTTGTACATAAGTATAAGAATTACTGTAAAAATAGATGTACAGTTTGAATTTACATTTTGGTAAACTTTGAAGGTTAAATTCACTTAAAATAATATAAACAACCAAGTGTAGGATATATTTGGACTGGCTTTGCGAAACAGGTGTATCCTATTGGTGTTGATGAACAAGCCCAGGCAAGACCCGACTTTGTAGTCAGTAGGTGGGGTCAAAATACCAAAACACTTGTGTTTCTCTCGCTCTCTCACTTGTTTTTTTTTTGTTGTTTTGTTTTTTACTTAGTAACTAAACCAAACATTGAACATGTATTGGAGTAAAAGTATGCAATTAAGTTCGTAAATGTAGTGAGGTAAAAGTGAAAGTTCTCAAAAAAAATGTATACTCTTGGAAAGTATAAAGTACTCCAAAATATCCTTAAGTACAGTAGTGAAGTAGCACAAGTGCACTGCTCTAACCGCTAGGTCAACACTCCCCCAAACATACAAAATCTGAAGGTTTTTCAAGTTTGCATTAAAATACATATTAAATACAAAGATAATATCAAGTTTATCTTTCCTTTAAATGTTGCAGGAAATGAATTGAAACCATGATGAACAAAAAAGCTGAAAATGTATTTCACCATTTTAGCTTTCCCTTCCTTTTAAAACCATTGGTGTCTTCAACATTTCTCTCTGACTCTTGTTTTTCCTGCAGGAAAACGGCCCCATGAATGCACCATCTGCAATAAAGCTTTCAAACACAAACACCACCTGATCGAACACTCCAGGCTGCACTCCGGTGAGAAACCCTACCAGTGTGACAAATGTGGAAAGCGCTTCTCTCACTCGGGCTCCTACTCTCAGCACATGAACCACCGCTACTCCCACTGCAAGAAGGACTGGTCGACCCTGAGCTCCAGGTTGGAGTCACTGAGAGGTCAGCTGGATCTGAGCAGCCCCGGCGGAGGAGCTCTGTCAGACAGCCGCACCACCACCCCACAATCCCAAATGGACTCAGACGAGAGGGAGAGTGAGGATGAGGACGAAGAGGCCATGTGTGTGGACGACATCCGGGTGGTACAGGTGGATGACGGCGAGTGCGAGATCTATGAAGGTAACTTTGACGACGAGGAGGACGAAGAGGTTGAGACTGGGCACGCGCAGGATTTGTTTTGCGATGTGGTAGAAGTGGAGTTGGCGAACGAACACATGGAGAGCAACATGTTGGAGAAAAAACATGAAACGGAGGAATCTGCAGGCGCAGGAAAGAAGAAAGGGGCAGACTGTGAAGTAGAGAGGGACAAAGCAATCAGGGAGCTCATGGACAGCAGCGAACTGTCGGAGGAAGAGGCGACAAACAAATGAAGGAAATTCGGATTTGTTGTCATCAAAGTCTTTTTAGACAAAAACCACGTCAAGAAGCAGCAAGTCTCGGAAGTTGCCTAATCTTAACGGTCCACTACTGTGTACAAAAACCCAGGTGTGCCTGAACATAAACAGAAAAAAAAAAACAATACAGTGACTTTTCTATTTGTGAAAAATGAATTATTCATGTTTTAAAGTGTTTATAGAAGTTCAGATTTGAAGTAGTACTATCTATCATCTTGTTAGACTTGTTACTGAGACTTCCCAGGTTTTTTTTTTTGTTTTTTGTTTTCTTTTTCCTCAGCCAGTCAGTGTTACTAACTTGTTCCTGTTTGAAAAACATTTTAACCTGTAAAAAGAAAGATTTCTATACCTTTTTATTGCCAATGAATTTTCCTAAATCAGTATTGAATTGAGTTCTACGAACAAAAAAAACCTCTGCACTACAGTATTCCTAGTTTACCTACGGATACATGCCTCATGCATCGTATGCCCGTCAGTGTTATATATGTGCGCTAGCTGGCCAGATGTTGTCTGTGTTAGTGTTAGTCTTTGCTAGCTAGCTTTATGTTTGTTTTCAGTTCCAACTGTTAGCCTTAAGGAAAACGTGGTATTCCTGGGGACGGGGTTGTGGGCGGGGCGGGACGGGACAGGGGGTGCCTGGGTGTGAGAAGTCGGCTTCTGTTTGCCATAACCAAATTTAGTCCTATCAGGGAAGGAAAGGTCACAACCTCAAAGCCAGCATCAGCGCTTCTGTTTTGCAGCCCAGCGAAGCTTGGATGGGCCGGATGTTTCAGAGCAGACGTCTGCCTCCAGGCTCGGCTACGGGTCCGAAACACACACGCTCAACCTAGCAAGCTTCTCCTGCTTTCGGTTTGACATTATTTTCCATGTCAGTGTTATCAGCTTATATGTGAAGTTAAAGTGTATGTGAAGGATCAGGTCGTTTCCTGCTCCACCCCGATGCCTCCAGCCTTATGCAAGACCTGTGTGCTGTTAAAAGTGCCATTGAACAGTGTTATTTTTTCTTTACATGTAGCCAGTATTAATTTCCTCTTATTTACACGGAACCCACGTTGGTTAATGTTTGTTAACTTGCATAGAGCGGCTAAATGTCACAATATAAAGTATTTTTAAATGTTTTGACCATTGCAGTATCACAGTTGTTTTTAATTCTACTCCATCTTTTTTTCTAAATTTAAAAAATTAGTTGGCAAAGTAGAGTAACGCTATACACTGAGAGGTTTTATGATGTGGATCTTTGCTCAGAGGGAAACCAAGCAGCTTTGTATTAAATCATTTAAACCCATTTAGACCTGATGCAACACCTTTGATCCAAACTTTTCCTGAAATACAGAAAAATTACAATCAAATCCAAAGCAGCGTCGTCCATTTCCATTTGATCAAAATAACACGGCTTCATAACCCCAGTCGGTCTGTTAAGCAGCCGATTGCATCCTATCTAATCTAACCAGGTAGTTTGACTAATTAACCAGCTCATGCAGTCTGGTTCTACTTGTGTTTAAGCCTCTAACATAAAGTTAAAAATAAAGGTTTATGTAACTAATAGCTGTTTCAGAATTTTCATATTAATATTCAATCTTTATTTTAATGATTTTGTCTTAATACTGTCAAACAATCATGTTTTTACTCAAGGACATCCTAACAAATGAATTTTAAATTGAATGAATTGAATATAGAAATAACATATGATACATAAAGAACTTAAAGGATGAATTTTCTCCTGTTAACTAGTATTTTTTTATGGATTGTGACCAAATTATTTTTCTATGAAAGACATTTTATATTTCAAAGTGTAGAGATGAAGGGGGAGCCAGGTTTGAGGATTTTCTTATTTCCATTTGGTCGTGTTTGGTGCGGACATCTTAAAGAGGCCAAAGCATGAATTTAATTCCTTTTTCTTTAAATATTTGGTTTTATACCCAGTATTCATTTCAGTACTGATAGAAGGATCCATGTTGAATTAAATTCTTTCTAAAAGGATAGAAATATAAGAAATATAAATCCCATTGGTGCTTTTTTTTTTTTATTAAAACACATTTAGACTCATTTCTGGTCCCAAAGGACAAAAACAGGAAGTTGGAAAAGTTCTTGCATCTGGTTCAGGTGGATAAAATGAGCCGATCTGTTTGCAGACATGATTAAGGGTTTGCTGTTGGGAAATACTTTGAGCAAATAGCCACTTTATGGAGTACTGTTCCCTTTAAAGCTGTAAACTTCAAATTATTTTTGCGTTTCTTGATAGGTTTATGTTGCTCTGATTTAGTTTAGTATAAAAAAAAGCAGTTTCTTTTGTGCACTTGTTTTCCCTCAAAACAGACATAAATGTGACAAGCTGCACTGCACTTCAGGTAACAAACATTAGTGAATGTGGTCTCTCAAGAGTTTTTGCTTTTTTTGTGTTCCTTTTTAACCTTTTTATTTTCTTTTTGTTTGGTTTTTCATGTGTTTTTGTCAATAACGGCAGTATTTGAACCCTTTTCACAGAAGAAAAAAAAAGTTCTGGTTCAGTTTAAAGAAAACATTTTTGTTTTATATTTATGTGTCTTATTTTTGTATTTTCTTTTACAGTTATTTATTACACATTGTAGTGTACATTACTTTAGTTTGAATTGATACAATAATATATTTTAGTATGAAAAATACTCTTGAGACAAACAAGAATCCCAAAATGTGGTTCTGGGAGATGAAGTTTGTTTTAACAAAAAATAGAAAAAAAAAAATAAATGAATAAAAATGTAATCTGTAAACTTGACTTTTGTTTTAAGCTGAGTAAATAAAGGAAAAAAGACAGGAATGAAGTGAGAACTAGAAACTGTTACATGTGCATCCGTCGTTATTAAGCTACTGAATTCTGTGACTTTAAACGCATGAGTGGTCGCCGTTTTAATGAAGGATCTTGTTACAAAGTCGTTAATCCTCCCTTTTTTTATTTCACGAAGCCAAATCTGCATCGTTCCGCCGCCCCTTCTTTTGTTCTGTGCCAACTTTGTAATTTCCATTGTACTGTTGAAGGCTGCATAACATTTGTCTATACAACCCTTTGTAAATCCACTGTCTTTTTGTATGGTTTTTATTTTAGGTTTGCTCCATTTTTATGACTCCCCATCACAATAAAATGTAAGAAAGCATCACTGAGTGAATTACTGTCTGCATCTGTGCTTTAGTGTTTTAGTTTCACTAAAAGCTTCAGAATAAATAAAACACCGCTCTGTAGTAATCTGGAAAGAAAATATTTGCTCTCAGGCCTTTGGGTTTCACATTAAATATGATCAAATTTCTTGAATAAGGTATAAAGTTATTTAAATCTATTTAAAAGTTAAAAAAACAGATGGCACAGTTTCAGTATTTGGTCAAACGGCTCTTAAACATCCAGTATAATGCAGCGCATCACCTGTTATATGG